CTTTGAATCCTCGACAATAACCACTGAGGGAGACATTCTCGACATTATCAAACAGGTTAGGCCATTTCTTCCTTCAGAAGACACTACCCAAGTGACCTTTTCCTGATGATTCCAGCACAACACATTATGTTCTGTCAACTACAGCATGCTAGCCTACTACAACATCGTAAGGGCTATCCAGAAGCAGAGGATTCTTCTGCTGCGTCTTGGGTTTCTGCCACTTTGGTTGATGTCAAGTAAGTGAGAAAGCAATGTATTCCAAAATTCTTAGATGATACATTTTCCTTAGTAGAGCCTCTTCTGTTGAACTGTAGGGCTTTCCTCAACTCAAGATGTAATGAAATATGGTTTAATAAAAGCCAAAAATATATATGGCCAGTACTATAGGCATAACATAAGAATATTTTCGTTAAGTTCTTCCACCCAGCACATGTAAACATCATAAATAACACAATGAAAAAACTCAAGATTGGGATGGCTAAAGGAAAAAACATTCTCTTCCAGGAGCAGCTGGTCTTTCAGGATAAGTGGAACATGTCTGAACATGCCAAATTACATGTCTTTTCCCCTCTCCTTGCAGGGAGGAAATCACCAGTATAAATCATGGCTTTCAAACACAGTATTTATCTTCTAAAAATAAATTAAGTTGTGAAGAATTATATGCTAAGATAATATAAAACACTAAGAATGTACTTTTTTCTTTCTTCCTTATTTTCTTAGTGTTGGGGATCTCACTGTGTTGCCTAGGCTGGAGAAGAGTGGCGCAATGAGATCATGTAAAGTTTGACCTGCTTTGTTTCTGACCTGGGCCAGTTCACCCCTGCTTAGGCAACTTGGTGTACCCCACTCCCAGGAGGTCACCATATTGATGCCAAACTTAGTGTGGACACCTGATAGATCGGCATAGTGTACTACAGCCCAGAACTCCTGGGCTCAAGTGACCCCCACCCCCTTCCCCCCACTAGCCTCCAGAATAACTGGGACTACAGGTGTGTGCCGCCATGTCCGGGAAGGATGTACTTTTGACTAGATTACATTTCAGTCATTTAAGGTGTAATTTTAGCAAACTTCTATCACTATCAATAAACATACACTGAAGACAAATAAAAGGCAGGGCTAAATGTGGCCTAAAGAAAGGAGTCTAAATCATAGGTTTTTACCCTCAAAGAGCTTACTCTTTTCAACAGAACAGATAAGGCACACCAAGCAAAATGAAAAAGATACATGTTAAGCACACTGGTTTGGATTAAGTGATGTAGGAATTTAGTAAGATTTTGTAGTTGAAGAGATAGATAATATTCAAGGTCAAAACAACTTTATGTAGGTCAATTATGCAGTTTTTATAGCAGAGATTAGTGGATGTGAGCACCCAAATAAAATCATAACTGAAACAAATGGCGTAATTATACGTCATGAAAGGTTTTGGTTGCTGAATGTAGGACCTTGTTTTTGGCTGTGTGAGCTTTAGAAAGTCCTTTAACTGGCGCAGGCGCAGTGACTCACGCCTGTAATCCCAGTACTTTGGGAGGCCAAGGCAGATAGATCACAAGGTCAAGAGATTGAGACCATCCTGGCCAACATGGTGAAACCACATCTCTACTAAAAGTATAAAAATTAGCTGGGTGTGGTGGCGCATGCCTGTGGTCCTAGCTACTCAGAAGGCTGAGGCAGAAGAATCACTTGAACCAGGGAGGTGTAGGTTGCAGTGAGCCGAGATCGCGCTACCGCATTCTAGTCTGGGTGACAGAGACAGACTCAGTCTCAAAAAAAAAAAAAGTCTTTTAAATGTGCTGAGGCCTGATTTCTAATCTGTAAAATGAGATATTTTTACTCTGTCTACATCACAGGACTGTTAAAAGGTTCAAATCAGGCCGGGCGCGGTGGCTCAAGCCTGTAATCCCAGCACTGTGGGAGGCCGAGGCGGGTGGATCACGAGGTCAAGAGCTCGAGACCATCCTGGTCAACATGGTGAAACCCCGTCTCTACTAAAACTACAAAAAATTAGCTGGGCATGGTGGCGCGTGCCTGTAATCCCAGCGACTCAGGAGGCTGGGGCAGGAGAATTGCCTGAACCCAGGAGGCGGAGGTTGTGGTGAGCCGAGATCGCGCCATTGCACTCCAGCCTGGGTAACGAGCGAAACTCCGTCTCAAAAAAAAAAAAAAAAAAAAAAAAAAAAAAAAAAAAAAAAAAAAAAAAAAAAAAAAAAAAAAAAAAAAAAAAAAAAAAAAAAAAAAAAGGTTCAAATCAGACTCTATTTATTTCTATCATACAAAATACCATATACTTGTGTTAAGGATTTCGTTTTGAAGTAGTAGTCCCTCTAATTTTAATAAAAAGTTCTAAGCTGAGAGACAATCTATAGTCACCAATAAAAGTAATCTGCCCCACTTTTAGGCAGGCATAAAAGTTATTAAATGTATGATTATCAAGCTTGATATTATCCATGACTGTAATTTCTATTACTTTCATAAAAATCAAAACAGGGATTTTAGTCTGCCTCATTTTCTGTGGGCTATCTAGTATCTAGAAGCAAAATGACTGTCATGGTTTTGATGTGTTATGTCACACAGCTACCACATGGATGGACATATTAATAGACAAAGGCAGTAAGAACAAAATTTGATAATATATGATTGAAATAAAGGTAGGGTGGAATACGGATGAGGGTAGAGAGAGCTGGATCACAATTTCCCAAAGTATGGCAAGAACACATCCAGGATCTGCCCCAGGCCCACCAACTCTATCTCTGAATGGAACAAGGAATCTGCATGGAAAATTCCCCTCCACACTCCCGTGGGGACCTTCGAGAGGACAGCACTCTCGTGTAGAAACCCAAGTGCCCAATGTTGTTTTTAATAGATTTGGTTATAGCTTACAGAATACCTCACCCTTCACCTCAATTCTCTCTAGGATCTCTGTATCGCCCCAGTGTATGTGTGAGATCTTTCAATTTTAGATCCATGAGTCCTAAAGGCAGAGTATAAGGAAAAGTAAGTCCAGGATGTACAGGCAGACTTCAAGGAGGAACCACCCTAAAAAAGAAATACCTGCTTTCTGGTTCCCTCCTCTCTTCCTCTGGACACTCAAAGGCAAATAACTTATAAATCCCAGGAATCTAAACCTCCTGCCTTCTCAGGACAGACTTATTTCACCTGAGACTGGGGCTACCCATCTCCCAGTTCTCCAGGAGAACTAGGATATTTGTCTCCCAACTCAGTTAACTGTTAATACAGTATGTTACATAAGCCCCTTGGATAAAAAACACAGATTGAGGGGGAAATAGTACATAAAGGAATTTTCTTTTATGCTTCATGGTATAACAAATAGAAGTTTGCTAAGAATTCCAAATATTGAATATATGGCCCACCCCACCCTGGCTCCCCAGTTTCCCCATAACCCTTGCAGAGAATCAGCAAGATGCTCTTTAAAACCACCAAAAAAACCATTGAAATAAAAATTATATCTAGGCCAGAGTTCACAAGTTGGCAGGCCTGCAGGATGATTTTGCCCAGAGAAGTTTTGTTTAGTCTGCAGAGTGGTGTTGTTTTGAATTTGAATTAGTTGCCAACTTTAAAAAAAATCTACAATTTTTACACAAAAAAACAAGTATCCAAATTCTCCCGAACAAGTAAAGGCTGTTAGTACAAGGTAACAATTGCCAAAAGCTCAGTGGCAGCTGTGTCCTCGAGGTGAGACCCTGGTGGCAACAGAGGCCCACTCCCAGCCAGTCCATCAGTGCTCACCCCTTGGGCCCTGTGTAACACGAGTGTTTGTGCCTAACCAAGGAATAAACACCAACCGGCCATATTTTGCAGTTCTTAATGGTGACTTTCAGAGCAAAATGGGAAGGGGATCAGAACCAGACAAAGGTACCTTATTTTTTATTTTCCTGCATTTCATCTAGAAATAAAGTGATCTCCAAGTAAATACTGGTAGGCATCTGGAATGGACCAGGCCTGGGAAAGGCACACTCATGTATTCTTCCTACTTCTGCCCCACTGCCGCCCCCCACCCTGATCCACACAATGTAAGATAGTAGATATGAAATACCACGGTTGCCATCTGGGATCCCTTGGTAATATTGTTGACAGCCACCCACCTGTGGTTATCTCCTAATCCCAGAGAAACTTGAAATAAAAAAAGACAGGCCCCCAGCACATCTTATATAAAACAAGGCCACAAGCATCCATTCTAGAATACCACAGTTAATAAACTTAGAAGGCTGGGACTTTAAGAGGTCATATATATGATTATTAAGTTTGATATTATCCATGACTGTAATTTCTATTACTTTTACAAAAATCAAACCAGGGATTTTAGTCCGTCTCATTTTCTGTGTACTATCCAGTATATTTAAGAGGTCAGGTTTGGAGTGTGCGGAGAAGGCTCCCTTCACACAATTTTTTGACAAATGAATGACTCTGGAAAAGTTACTCCTGATGCCTCAATGTCTGCAGAAATGTAAAACCACGTGCAGCGTAACCAGATTTCTATCTCAAAAGCAGGTGTATAAACAAGGTCCTTAACTAATCTCCTACTGTTAAAATGTGTTAAAATCAGATGAGTAAGGCTACCTTGTGTAACTCAGCAATCATTCCTTTTATGTAATTGAAATAGTAATAACCAAAGTTCAATTCTATTAATAGTAGGCAGCATCCAATGAGGAGTCCGGAACCTGCCCTCAGTGAAGGTCAATATTGTATCCTGGCAAGGCATTCTTCCTCTAGTTCTGTGAGGGAGAAGAATACCTATTACCTCTCCCTTACCTATTTCATAAGGATGTCGTAGTTCATCAACCATCTAGAGTACCTTGGGAATAGGGTGGTATATAAACAGTCATATTCGTATTATTGTTATTAGTCTTGTCTCACAAGCTGGCTCAGTGCAGTGGTAACTTTTTAAGAACCTGGTAAATAAGACGAACTGCTTCCCCTCTCCCAGTGAGAAAGGACCAGGATGATGGCAGCAGTTAAGGAAAGAAGCCCAGATTAACACCCACCTCTGTTCTGATGGATACTGGCTTTCAGGCATCATCTTTGGCATCTGCAGGGGCTGATGTGGTGGTCGGGGGACCGCAAATGTTTGCTGCTGTGGTCCAGGCTCTGGAAGCGAATGGGGGGTGGGGGCGGGGCCCACACCTTGAACAGGGCCAGCTGCAGGGGCGTGCGCTGAGGTGGGCAGAGTTGCCTGAGGTGGGGGAAATAGGGGATTCTGATGGGTGGGTGAGAGGGGGGTTGTAGGAGGGGTTAATGGCTTGAACCCAGAGGGAGGCTTCCTATCATAGGCACTGTAAAGAGAAAAAGAGAAGAAACCATTAAGCCGAAATGAAGCCAATTAGCATGGTTACCAGATCCAGCAGAAAGCTAGTTTGCAGCCCATTGTTGCCAGGAAATAACAGCATTAACATAGTTAAATCACTCGTAGCCCCGAGGGGATATTTGTACCTCCGAAAAGTGACAAACACACTGCGTCACAGGGACTTGTTTAACACTTCTAGTGATTTTTCTCAAGGATAATTTTAGCCTCTGCTTCCGGTTTCCTTTTTCCCTCCTTCTAAAAGAACTCTCCGTGTATGCCTGTGTAGGGTGGGTGGGTGAGGGGAGAATTTACGCTTTGCCAGGTGTTCTCTGGTCCCCTCTCCCAAGTGTTCCAAGGTTCCCAGGAATTAGTCAGAATCTGTGTTGAAGGTACATTTGTGCTGTGACATCACTTGAATTAACAACTCCTCTCCTCCCCCTTTCAGGCAAATCTATGTTTATCTTCTAGAGCAAAGAATGATTTAAAATTTAAGCTTCATTCCTGGGCCCTGGATATTCTTAAGTAAAGGGCACAAGCATTAAGACTTTTCATATATTCTGATTTGGAGATTACCTCTTTGGTGCTTAAAGTTCACATTAACATATGATAGACATGAAGAAGTATATATTATCTGCCTCAAAGCCACAGATCAAATATCCCAGGATTGAGACTCCTTCCCTAGAAGGACTGGGTACCCTATGAACTTAGTGCCCTGAAGAGCCACAAGGCTTTAACAGTTTTCTTTTGTGTGCAGTACATTATCCCACGGGGGCCAGGATAACACTGCCATGAAAGAAGGATGTGTTCTACCCCAGGGTCTGCTGGGTGACACCAGGAGGGAACATTCAGCTTGATGGCGACATCCAGAGCCTTTCTAGGCAGCCTTTCTTCGATGCCACTTGCCCACTTACCAATAGTTGTAGAGGCACTTTTCTCCATAGTTAGCACCAAGAGCCTGCTCATGGCTACAAGACGACAGCTCAGAGGAGGGGCTGTGCAGCTCCCGTTTGATCTTGGTTGGAGGTGGGGCATGAAGCACCACTAAAATCAGAAGAGGGATGAGAGGGGAATAGAGAGAGAACAGCTGATTAGCAGGGAGCACAGTGCTTCCTTCTGCAAACCTTCTAACTAGCTGATTGTTCTTGGAACTCATGTCAAGTCACATGTCAGAAAAAGCAAAACACTTCAACACACAGCCTCCCATCTAAAGCCAATTAAATTCTTCAAAGTCAGAAGTCATCATCTGACACTTTTAATTAGCCAAGTCTTTTTTCCCAAACTTCTTTAGTCATGGGTCTTGCTTTCTAGAAAGCTGCAAAACCCTTAAAAATCTTGCAGGTAATGGGTTTTTACCAAAAATGCAAGTGACTGCAGACATGAAGAATTTCATTTCCAAAAAGAACAAAATGACCAAACATGTGTTGGTAGACATTACCAACACATGTAAGCTTAGCAAAGGCTTAAAATTGCTGTGGCAAATATACTTCTTATTCAGATGCATATTTACAAATTAAATATAGAATTTTTAAAAAGCCCTTCCTCAAGTAACTTTAAATATCAGCTCTCAGCAAGAAATACTCAATTTTTGAGGTATTCCAAAAATTTTAAAAGCAAAGGAATAAAACAACAGACCAACACACTACCTAGGAAAGGCTACTGAATACAGAATGCAGAAAGCCTGGCTACCTTTGTGCTTACAACATCTGCTCCAGGCCTGTCTCAGTGACAGAGCGGCAAGGGCGGGTTTGCATAACTAGTCCTTTCATAGATGAAAATAAATACATGGAGTTACTGCTTTTGGTTTGGAAGCCAACTACATATTCCATAGAGGATTCTGAGAGGGCAGAGTAACAAGAATTTTTCAAATCAAGGTGATTGAAATGTAGTGGCCAAAAAAACCCAAAGAACAAAAACTCAAGTTTGCCTCTTCTGTCTTCTCTAAGAGCCAAATTGTTTCAGAGAGAGCATTTTATCCAAAGTGGAAAGATGCCTTCCGAAGATGTTGCACTATACGAGCTGCCTTCTAGTTGACTTAGAATGGGTTCTCCTGGTCTAGCTGCCTTTGGAAGGAGGGGAAGGAGAGCAAGTTAAGCTTCTGTGCTGGCCACTGGCCACTGTATCAAAGGTCTCATTAAATAGCTAACTACAGTGTATGCTCTGGTGACCCAGGAACATTTTCAGTTTGACTCAATGTTTACTCCTAAAACAACTTTAGGAGTTAGGTTAATTCTCGGTGATTATACTACATAGAATTAGCTAAACAATCATCACTTTTCTACTTAACATCCGATAAGACTGAACAGTCTTCCAGCCAACTGGCCCCTCAGGTGCCTCTATAATCCCAAATTCTGAACTCAGGAGTGAACACGAGACAGATGACTCTATCACAGATGACAAGGTTATAAAGCAATGTTGCTGCAAAGTCCTGCCAGTGACTGAAAAGGTTAGATTTTTATAATTCCTTTCTTACATAATGCCAACTGCTTTTCCTGAATACATAAAATAAGTTGAGAACTAGCAGATGATATTTAGAAGTCATTAGAGTTTCTCTCGTGATCTTTTTGATGATGACATCATGGCAGCCAACACTCAATTGTTATCAACTGTTTCAGATATTCAGACACAGAAAATAAGGAAGCTTGTTGTTTGAATGTTGCTAGCAAATGAGAATTTGACACAGAAATCCCTTCCCCCAATGCAGTGGATAGACTGACAGTTCTCAGCAATGCCTGTGGTCACTGCCCTTCCTCTCACCAGTCTTCTGCTATAAAAGTTTTGACAAAACAATGAAGAAAGGTAACGATGACCCAATTTAAACAAAAGCTACATGTCCTTGAAACTTCTACTTTCTTGCTTTATCTAAAGATAATCATTTGCAATCACGCTTTAGGTAAGTTTGGAAAGAAAACAATTAGAGTGCTATTCAATGGTCTTATTTCAGGTTTTAGAAATGTCTTGACATTTTCACAATATTATTGTAACAGTTACCAGTTCTGCTGACAAGTCTAACACCAGAGGGTATGCCAAAGTTGCCCAGAAAGAAACATTTTGTAATTGTTTCAGGAACTGCACATATTTAAAAGGATCTAACCAGCCCACGAACTGATGTCTTGGTTTCTTCAAATCTAGACAGTACTCTTGGTGTGTGCCACATCATTTTGGCTCTAAATTATATAGTACCTTCTACCCCAAAATGTCTTATATGTGGAATAGTATATTCTTTATACAAAGGGGGAGTTCAAAAAGTATATACATGAACAAATGGATATTTCCAATTTGTTCTTAACCTTGAAGGCAGGGACCATATCTACCCTACAAGGCAGGGTACAATGTTAGTTAGTTATATATACTTTCTCCCCAGGATAAGACATGACAGAACGAGAATGGAAAGTTTCACAGATCTACACCGACAGGAAGGCCATGAGGGGCCCTGTCAGTGGTGAGGAACAAGGCTCAGCTCCTCAAAGGTCTGTGGGACTAGAGGATGTGTGAAGGAGCCTAATTATGGCATGTGTTAGTCAGAGATAGTGGTGTATTTAAAGCAGGAACTCAGAAGCCCAAGGAATGCTCCTCGCTTTCAGTCTGTTTCTTCATTTGTAAAATGAGGAATGCGGTGCTGCCTTGAGAAAGAAAGAAAAGGGCACAGCACCTTGCAGATGGTGCTATGATGTGTAATTACACCCTGTGCTTTCAAAAATAGTATTTACCTTTGCACAGCTGACTTTCTAAATGATGACAGAGACCCAGGACTATAAAGGATGGCAACAAATTGGAACTGAAAAGGGATCATGAACTCTTCAGGAAGTTTGAAAAGAAATGCTAAAAAAAAGTTGAGGATTTGAGCTAATAAACATCTTCTGCAATTAGAAACTTTGAGTTTAAGCTCAGAATTACAGAAGAGGGGCCCACAAAGTCAGTGGTGCCCTGACAATAATTTCTGATGAACATGGACTATCTTCTTTGTCATGAAGATCTTTCTTTCCTTCTTTTTCCATTCATTCATTCACGGAGTATCTTTGATGGGTCAGGTATTCTGGACATTCGGGGTATATGATACTAAGCAAAACAGACATGGTCCTTTCCTCATGGCATGCCTAATTTAGTGAGACATCTGACTTTTAGCATCTTCTCAAAGATGCAATTAGAGATAGATTAGGGCTTCAGTACACTCAATTCAATCCCTTACATTTATAGATAAGGATCCTGAGGCCCAAGGAACTAAAGGTCTTGGGGCTGCTGCTATTTGAGGGGAGAAGAGGCAAGGGCCCCGCACTGTCATTTTAGTAATCTCCTACCACACTGGCAGAAATGGGAGATATTCCACTCTTTCACTTTGTACATTAAAAATAGAAGGCATAAACCTTTTTTTTCAACTAAACAAAAATACCACTTACACCTGGTTAAGAGAAAATGGTCTAGAATAAAGGAAAAATGGATGAGAAGAACTGGTATCTCTGGAAAAGAACAAAGAAGGCCGACCAAGAAAGAGGCAGCCAGCCAGACCCCTTACCATTGCCTTTATGCCTAGTTCTTATATGCCTCATTTCATTCAGTCTTCCCAATTCCACGAGAAAGCTATTAATGCTTCCATTGCCTTCACTTTACAAACACGAAAACAAGGCTCTCAGTAACTTGCCAAGGTCTCACAGCTGGTCAGTGGCCAGGATTCCTATCTATGCAGCTGTTAGTCTTTTCAATATATTGGCCCCCGGAAGGAACCCGAGAGAAAAAAGACCAATCAAAAATGGATTAAAAAAAATAGGGAAAGAGAGAAGGAAGACAGCACAAGAGAAACAGCAGAAGGATATTTTCCTCCAGCTCTCAGAGTTGTATCGTCATGCTTACCCTGCACACCTCATACCCCAAAACCCACTCAAGGACTTACGCCTTCCCCTAGCTCTTGGACACCAAAATGACCAGGATCTCTATTACACCTCCATTGTTACAGGCAATGACATCTCTAACTCCAGTAGTCTTCACTTTTTTTTTTTTTTTGACAGAGTTTTGCTCTCTTTGCCCAGGCTGGAGAGCAGTGGCGCGATCTCGGCTTACTGCAACCTCTGCCTTCCCGGTTCAAGCGATTCTCATGCCTTAGCCTCCTTTTTTTTTTTTTTTTTCTGAGACGGAGTTTCGCTCATTACCCAGGCTGGAGTGCAATGGCGCGATCTCGGCTCACCGCAATCTCCGCCTCCTGGGTTCAGGCAATTCTCCTGCCTCAACCTCCTGAGTAGCTGGGATTACAGGCATGCGCCACCATGCCCAGCTAATGTTTTGTATTTTTAGTAGAGACGGGGTTTCACCGTGTTGACCAGGATGGTCTCGATCTCTTGGCCTTGTGATCCACCCGCCTTGGCCTCCCGAAGTGCTGGGATTACATATGTGAGCCACTGCGCCTGGTAGCCTTTACTTTTTGTAATCCTTGCCTCCCATTCTAGCATTCCATCTAAAAGGTCTCACTCTCCCTTCTATAGTCGAGCTGATCAGAATCTTCTGCTCATTCAGACAGTTGCCAGAACTTCAGAAGACCGGGTATCTTGTACAGGGGTCACTACTACCGAGACTCCTCACTGCAGCCATGAATGCCATCTCTCTCCGCATAAGCCCTGCCCCGCCCTGAAATTGCTTCTGGACAACTGTTTTACTATTACCACTGGGGCAAGAAGATCCTGAGTGAGCTGTCTGGATCCCTGTTTGACTACAAGAACTCTGCTAAGGATCTAAGCACAAATATATGTGACAGTCTCAGCTTGTCAGGGGTAGGAAAAAGAAGGGCAGCTAGCTGGTAAGATTTATAATTCGGTGGGTATGCACAATCAAGTACATGTATTGCCTTGCAGACAACCATAGCACCATTTTAAATTTAGATGTGATGCTCACAAGTTAACCAACTTCATGGCTGCTTTTCTTCTTAGACTAGGAAACCCCTTAGATGATTTTTCTGTCTGACACAGATATCAAAATCCAGGTCTGGGCTGGGCGCAATGGCTCATGCCTGTAATCCCAGAACTTTGGGAGGCAGAGGCGGGCAGATCATGAGGTCA